CTTGGTGCCACGCAGTCTTCAAAGAACATTTGAGCAGTTTTCATACTTTTTACCTTTAAAAATATCGGACAGAAAAGAATGTCATAAAATGCTCATCAAATAAAAATAAACTTCTACTGCAAAGACGTAAAACCGTTCAGAAATGAAAGCTTTTTTTAATATCCTGGGAACAATAGCCGATAACTTGTCAGCTCTAATTGAATTTACTCCCATGTAAAAAACAAAAGTGTTCTTACCATTTGTAACTAAAGATAGCAAACATCTCGTGGGAAAGAGTGGTGACGATTCGTCAGCTCTAATTGTATTTACTCCCTTTTGAAAAACAAGAGTGTCAAATTACCCTTTGTAACTAAAAAATAAAAATATCTCGTTATATTTGCATGCAACAGGAACAAAACAATTCCTTTATTCTTCTTTTGACTAGCCTCTGTGGGTGTCACTTTAATTGAACTGTGTTTGGTGTTCTTGTACTGTTTCAATATTTCGGGTAGAATGTCTAAATACTGTGTATTACCTTGAATAGTAAACTGCTTCCACATTTTGGTTTTTATTGTTTTGTTCCATCTTTCACAAACAAATGAATTTTCTTCATTCTCAGTGGAATACAATGTTATTTTATTCTTATCCAATAAGTCTCTCAAATGTTTGTTATAGAATTCTTTACCCTTATCAGTCCATAAGTAGTCAGGTTTTCTACCTTCTTTGATAATGGTTTTGAATGCTTCAGTTACAGTTTCACCTTTTTTATCCTTCAACGGCACAATCCAACCATATTTACTAAACACGTCCAAAACTGTGAGAAGATATCTGTAGCCTTTGTTCCACTTGCTGAACTGCTGCATTTGAACTAAATCGGAACACCATATTTCATCAACATGATTGACTATTACATGCCGTCGAGTAAAGTTACGCTTTATTGGTTTATGTAATTCATCAGCTAATTTTTCTTGCCAGTTTATTCACTCGACGGCGTTTTCCGTTTTTTGATACACCAAGACCTAGTTTTTGTTTTTTATCAATCAAGAATCGTGCTTTTGATCCCCACTTAGGCATTTCACCATATGGAATTTCATCCAATGATGCAACCATTTGCCTATCACAAACTCCCTAGTTTTTTCCCATATCATAACAAATATCGTGATAAGCAGCTATTTCATCTACTTTGTTGTACGGTTGTACACGCCATTTGAGAACTTCACCAGTGTTTGGGTTGCATTCTAATTAATTGCTTATCAAGGGGGTTGTACGGTCCCATATATTTGCACTTTCCAGGAGTAAAACCGGCTTTGGGTTTTGGTTGTTTACCAATCGCTTTGTGGATGTCAATTGCACCACCTTTGTACACATCAGCATCAAGATCCATTTTGTCAGTTTTATACTTGTAATTCAGTCTCACTTTGGTTGATAATTGATTAACTGCTTCAGATCCAACTTTTTGAATAACTGGTGTTGCTTTCTTGATTCCCCAATCAATTGTTTTTTTTGTTGTAATTTTGGATCTCTCATGAATTAAGAAGCATAATATCTTCCAGCTTCTGTACCTTTCTTAGCTAAATAAGGAATACCTTTGCTGATAAATAATTCAGCAGTTGTATCTCCAACAGAACTCAATATACCTGATCCACTCTTAGGCTTGTATTCATAATCGCCATTTTTTTATGCCTGCATTTATATGTTTATTCCAGAAGTCTCTGTATTGATCTCTGATATACTTTTTTGGCTGCATTTGATAGAGTTATATTTGTTTTGTTTTTCTTCTTCATGTCTTCCTCATAAGAACTTTCCACCATTGTTTCTAAATAACCGGGAAAACGTTTGCCGAGTTCTTTTCTGGCCTTCACAGTTTTGTGACCTTTGGGATAATTTGGATAACATTCATCCCATTCCTTTTTCGTAAATCCTTCAAGTTCTCCTCTTGTTCATTTTTCAGCTTGTTCAGTTAGCTTTGCAAGTTCATAACCTAAATTCCTTGGTTGAAATATATTGCCCCCAGCTTGTGAGGGCACATTTAGTTTCCTGCTTCACAAATTTCACTGATTGTTATTCCACATTCAGCGCAAGTACATTTTATCATGTTTCTTCCATTCTTAGCCTTCATATAACGTTCACTTCGTGGAACACATTCTGCTTGCTTTTTTTGTTTTACGCAATAAGACTTCATATATATTATATATTATATAATATTTATCTCCAACAACCATATAATACAGGTCTTCCTTTTCCGTCATAAGAAGTGGTTATTACTTTGCAATTCTTTGGTTTCTTTGGTGCTACATAATTATCTACTTGGTGCATTATATGCCACTCCTTTATTCGGATGTGGATGATTACCTGTTATATTATCCCAGGTTCTGGTAAATGTTTTTCCACTCCAAAAATCATCAAATGCTTCTTTTGCTCCTGGTTCTTTTACAAAGGCTAATGTACCTTTTTCTATCCAGTCAATTGGTTTCTTCCATTGACCAGTCCATCCGGAAGCTTCACCACCTTTTTGATTTTTTACAAACCTGGTTTCAGTTATTCCGCACTCAGCACATTTACATTTCATCATGGTTCTTCCATTTTTAGTTTTGGTATAAGTTTCACTACCTGGAACACAGTCTGTTTGCTTCTTCTGTCTTACGCAATAAGATTTCATATATAATATATTATATAATATTTTCGAAATATCTCTCAATAGATCTCTCATTCTTCATTGTCTCATGAATATCGAATACATTCAATATGAATACATATGATTTTCCTTTATTCATCTCGTTCAAAAAGTACAAGCAAAAGTAACCACAAGTAGTTGTCAGAGGATTTTGAATTTGATTATTTTGATACAATGAAGTTAGGTTTTTTCTCTTGGCATGATCAACAAGTTCTTGAAACGGCGGCATTCCAAAAGTATCAAAATAATTTATTTTATTATCTTCGGCATATGTTGTAACCCAATGAGATCCACTCATATATGATTATGAGGTACTGATTGATCTCTCGACAAAACCTCACTGATCGGTATTCTGAAGTACTTGCACCATTCTATCAAATCATGGTTGCTCATTGGAATATTTTTGTAAAATTTTAGAATATCGCTCCTAGTACTGGAATTGAGTTGAATGGGCTGTTTTTTCCTAATAGTAGCCCCTTTCCTGATTTTTTTTGTTTTTTCTTTGTTCCGTAACCCATCGTTTTGTTCCAAGTACCGATAAAAGGAGGCGGTTGCCCTATTTGTGGAGCTGAACCACCTTTTGATTTTGGTAATGGAGGTGCTCCCATTTGTTGAGCTCCACTACCTTTTTCGAAAAGTTTACTAACTAAATCAACAGCTATTGGAATTCCAACTGATGCAAGTATTGATCCTAGTCCGGTACCCATCTGTTTTTGAGAAAGTCTCAGAAGAACGTTCGGATCATCTCTTGCTAATCCCCTTGCCAAATCACCTACCTGTTTTGCGGTTAATAAATGATTGTAAGAATTCACAAGATCACTGATACTATTATTTGGAATCATAAAAGCACCACCTTTCTGACCTCTTCCTGATATTTTCTTAACGACTTGGGAAGGTCCTTCTAAAGCTAATCCAGCCAATGCAGATAATCCAAGTGTTTTGGCTATTGTGGGTGCAAAAGTGCGACCAAGACTAAGGATCTTGTTAATAGACTACCTCCAACTTGTTTTCTTATATTAGTCTTGGCCAGTTTGATTTCCATTCCTTTATTCAGCTGTTTATTCTTTCCCAATCGTTTCACTACATTTTGTGGAACATATAAAACGTCATTTCCTGACAGAGCATCTTTTGAAAGCCTGAGAACAATGCTTTCACGCTTATAAAAAGCACTAGCAAGATTTTTTATCTGATTTGGTGATAATTTCACCCTTATTTCAAATAATTGCGTCATATATTATATATGTTATATAAAATTTAATCATAAATAATATATTTTAAAAAACATCCTCATATTGAGGAACCAATTTATAACTAACTTCCCTATTTTATCGATTTACACAATAACTAATTCATTTCCTATTTTGTTAATCACAACCATCTCTTCGTAAAAGACAATTGCGTGAACATTGAATGCAGCCGCTGGAGCAGCACTTATTTTGTATCTGAAAATTAATTGTTTGGGATCTCTTGTCACTTTTTCTGTTTGGTTTGTTAAATCAATATATATCATGCCATAGAGACTATTAAAATTTGCAAGAATCAGTTGTGTACCAGTATTATAATCATTTCTTCTTGCGGCGTAAGACATCAAATCGTTAAAAATTCTCACCTTACTTTCTGCATCATACTCAGTTTCTGGATAAAATATGCCATTTCCATATTCAAGTCTGCATGTTGTTAAATGACTAAGAAAATTACCATCAGCTGCATTTAGTTTATAAGTATCAAATAAGTAAGGATTTTCTGCCACGACATTTGTTTTATTTCTTTGGAGACAAATATGTGTTGAACGTTATCAACACTTGCTGATATCTGATAAAAACCGCTAGCTTGTGAAGGAGCAGACATTTGATACATCGATCTCAGATAGGACCATTTGGTTTCTTTTAAAAATGAGCTGACAAAATTGTCATACAAACTATCCTTCGGAATTAATTTTGGCG